ATTAATTAATTAATTAATATTTCAAAAAATATATTGAAAATGTTTACACAGTTAACACATTTGTGTTATACAGTTATTATTTACATATTCACATGTTTAAATCTTTGCACTGGCATCTTTTGAAATAATATTGTGCTGAATCTACCCCTGTGTGCTGCTTGCTCCCAGTCTGTGCACTCAGCTAATAGGACTCAGGAACTACATCTACAAACTAGTTAGTTCTGCTATTGTAATCTCACCTTGGATCTTCACCCCCAGATGGAATCTCTGTGGTCAGATTCCTTGATACATGCAAGACACCTAGAGTAGACACATTTGAATAAACTTTTAAATAAATAAAATAAATTTTAACACCAGCATTAACGTATTTCATCACAATATAGTTAGATAATACAGTTTACAGCTCAAAGGGCGGAGAACCTCTTTACATGTAATTATTTAATTATTTATTGCAAAATAAACATTGGGAAGTATGTAAAAAGTTCTCTTTGTGCACCAGGCTATTGGTAGCAACCTTATTCATTTGACAAGACGGAAGCAGGCCAGTCCCACACCAAAGCCACAATATCAGAGAACAAAGGAAGCAAGAACAGAGCCCCGCTGTTTGTAGAGGAAAGAGCAGCCATGTTGGTGTGTAGAGCTTTCTGTGCACAGCTAGCACAGGCTGCAAGTTATGCAGCTACTGTACACCACTGACCTTAAAGTCAGGATCCATTGGTTAAGAGATTTTGAAAGCCAATGATTGTGCAGTCACCTTTGAATTTTGGCTATTGAGGGAAAGGATGTTACCCTGTCAGCCTGACAAGAATACAGATATGGATTTGGCACAAAATGAAAAACTGAACTTCAACGTAAAGCTCAATAAATGTTGACTTTCAAAATCAGACCTGTACCATGTAGCTTCATTGACGTTTCTGCCCCTAGATCCAAGGTTAGGACCAAGATGGCTGCTGTACAATGATGTTTAATGATGTCTTGGAACAGTATCAGCCGTAGTAATATTAGCACAAAGCCACTTAATCATGCTGTAATTAAGTTATTTCAATAGACACAATTTTGCCTTCATTATTATACAGTATGGTTTTCTGGGTTTTTCAGAAAATGTGTCATCTTCATTAAGTGCTATATAATGTAATACCATACTGTGTTAAATGTGTTTATATGTAAAATCTTGAATATTTGAGTTTTTTTTTAAATAATTTTCAAACATTCAGCAGCCATTTGGTATTAACCAGCTAAACACTACCTTTCTGCCAAGTTGATCTGTTGCATCCATCTATGGGATCAAACCAACCTTGTAGCTGCTTCTGTGTTCCGCATGCAGCGCTAAACCTGGAACCAAAATATACTCTCCTTTTTAATGACAGACACACGTCTATCTCAGGCTTTGTAAAACAACATTATGAGATTATTTTACCTGATATTCCAGACATGTTAAATTCAAGACTTGACTAAATCACTACTGACTGTGATTTAGTTCTGTTTTTGGTGATTCATTGTGTTTTCTATGATTTAGATGAACCCAAACTGCTTCAACTTGCTATTGTGTCATTTTGTAGTGTAATGTAACAACTTCAAATAGATAAAAATGTTCTGGACTATGTATAGAGTATAACATACCTGGTATGAGAGTGGGGGTCAAAGGTCGTACCGTAAAACCCTGGGTGGGATACTGCAGAGGAGAGTTAGGCAAAGCAAATAGCAATTTGGATAATTCAGATGGTGACCTGTTGAGGAAATGGGAAAGAGTGAGGGATGTTGGTGGTGAGGGGAATTTTTTTTTTTTTTTAAATTGTGTTGCAGGAGATTTACATAAAACAAACAAACTGCTAATATAGGAATACTCTTTGGTTCCTTTTCCACCAAAATATCTTGCGCTATCTACTCAACCAGCCTGTATTTCCACCAGTTGTGGGTGGAACTATTGTAATCGCATACATTATCAACATAGTGTTGCACAATTCACAACCACCTCCAGAATCTGACATGCCGGCATTGAAACACACACAAATTCTATTGTTCTCAGACGATGTCTTTTCTGTGTTCAAATAATATAATTTCTTTCCATACCTGTACAGTAGGGGCCTCTGTTTTTTTGCAGTGTTTTAAAATGAGCTTCTTATACATAAAGGAGGGAGAATATAATCTGCCATCCCAAGGATATCTTATTTTTTCAAACATTCTGAAAAATACACAGATCAGCTGCAAACTGATTTTTTTGTTTTACAGTGAATAGAAAACCATTCTTGGCTTTCATGCCACCCTTTGACTTTTGTACAGACCCAGGAGGAATGCCTAAGGGGGACGAGAGCCGGACTTCACACACGGATCAGAGGACTCTGGTTAAAGCAACAATAAGAATAAGTATCAGTCAGTATTGGATTGACTGCAGATTTTCAGTTTGTTTATATCAGAATCAGAAATACTTAAAATAATTTCCCCCTGGGATTATTAAAGTTCAAGTCTTTATAAATCTTTTTATCACAGCATGTTGTATATTCTACCAATTCATTATTTCTTCTTTTACCACCTCACTGGTTTCCCCCAGCCTCGACATGTTGCATCATTATTGCCAGCCCCACCCGCCCCCATCATCCTGTGTGACTCCCCAGTTGACTCTGTGGAGTCCTTCCGCTTCCTGGGTACCATCATTACCCAGGACCTGAAGTGAACATCAGCTCCCTCACCAAGAAAGCCCAGCAGAGGATGTACTTCCTGCGGCAGCTGAGGAAGTTCAACCTGCCAAAGACAATGATGGTGCACTTCTACACCGCCATCATCGAGTCCACCCCGGTCACAAACTCTCCGAATCACTCCCCTCTGGCAGAAGCTGCGGTCCATCAGGACCAAAACCTCACGCCACAAAAACAGTTTCTTTCCATCTGCAGCTGGCCTCATTAACAAGGCCCGGATCCCCCACTGTCACTGACTGTTATACCCACCCTGTATATATGCATTACATTAATGCACTCCTGACTTTTTTTATTTTTAAAAAGTACTTTATTCGTGTGATTTGTATATTTTTGTGTG